TATTACTCTATAATATATTATTATTCTAATGATTTTATTGATTTAATACTTTTTATTGAGACCAGCAGCACTATAATCGCCAAAGAGTTCTGCAAGTCAATGTAATTCTAATTCGTTTGAATACTAGAACTACGAAATGACATTATGCGTAAAATTTTGATTTATGCATATTTGGAAGAGCTTGAAAATAATAAAAGTCATTTATTTGTGAAATTTAAAATAATGTAAATGTGTACTTCTGCTACACCTCCAACTTAAAAACACATCAGAAATTAAACCCCAAGCTGGCAAGTCAAATGAACTGCAAACAAGTTTTGGCCATACCGTGGTGCCTACCAAAAAAAAAAAAAAAGTGCCTAGATGTGAAGCTTCAGTTCTTAACAGCTGTATAAAATTCTTTTTGATCTAATGAAATGCTGTGTGGGATTGGATAGTAAAGGGGATTGCTACAGGAAAAAATGTTTAACATCTGCTTTTGCCATTGCAAATGACAGATATTAAATACACAGTACATTTAACAAAATATGGATTTACAGAACCTATGAGTGCATCTGTTCCCTTTTTCTGTCAGTGAAAATTCACAAATGTAAGTTGTTCTGCATGACACACAGATGCCAGTTTACTGCTCTTTCCCATAGGTCTTTCAGCACTTATGTAAAATATCAGGAGTGAGCACAAAATAGAGGAAAACCTTGCCTATAGCTCACACTAAACTTGAATTTTGTGCTCCGTTACTTAGGACTCCTTGAAAGGGCACCTCCAAATGGGGAAAGTGTAGCAATTATTTAGAGTAATCTAAGTAATCAGAAAGGCTAGTATACAGTAATAAATACATATTCCACCAATACACAAAAACACTACGCTATTGTCATAACTATAATAAAATATTTAAAATTTGTTTACAAATCATTCCCATAACTAATACTAAGTTGAAAAAGTCATGAAATTAAATATACACTATGTTTATATTTCTGTGATAATCTTGGCAGAAAAAGATCAGAAATGGGCTGGGATTTGGCTCAGTGGTTCCACTGCCTGCCTCGCAAGCACAAGGATCTGAGTTTGATCCCCAGTACAAAAAAAGAAAAGGAAAGAAAAATATCAGAAAGAAATGCTTGTAGTATTAAAATAGCTTTAAAGTTATATTTTAAAAATTATTTTTAGGTCTCTAATGCTTACTAAAATGTAAATAGGTTAAACTTTTCTAAAGTATGCTACATACTTGAAATCTGGAAGATATGCTTACTCTTTTACCACTAAATCTACTCCTATGGAGCACATAGATAATCCCAGGAAAATAATCTTGATTATAGGATAGATATATCACACAAGAATATTTCTGCCAGAATAGTTGATTATTGCAATAAAACTACCATAGCAAAAAAGGGAAAAAATAAAATGCACATCACAGAAAACTATTTTTTATTACCAATATTTTAAAAATGTGTTTACTGACCTGTAAAAACGTATTTTCTTTTATGATAGCAGAAACTGTCCACAGTGCCCATTCTTGCCTTTATTTTGTCAGTAATGGAATCCCTCAAGCTTGCTCAAAGCTACGAGGACAGAAACTATCCTCATCTCCCTGTGAGCACCAGGGATATGGGCCTAAGACATATTTCCCAGTTACATTCTTCAGGAAAAGCCACTAGGTGTAGACTTCCTCTGACCAACCTCCTTGTGGGCTGGAACAGACAAGGAAGTGAGCCAGCTTCAACTGGGCAGAGTCATAAAATGAGACCCCGAATGACCTCACACAGCACAGTTACATCCCACGCCTCTTTGCCACTAGCCTGGGCTGCTAATCTCTATGCTAACCTCATAACAGAGAAAAAAATCAAACTGTTTATTTAGTGGACATATTTTAGGGTTTCCAAACAACAATTTAGTCTGTATCTAACAAATGCAATACTGTACAACTAAGTGAAAGTTACTTAAAAAGTCTCTATGTAGATCATACAACTTTTGTAATGGAAATGGTATCAGAAAGTGAGATTGTACCAAAATACTAATAGTGATTATTTCTTGGTGGTAAAGACATTCTAAATTTTCAAACAGACACACACACACACACACACACACACACACACACACATATTCCATGTATAATAAAAATTATAGTGAATTATTTTAAAGTGTTTTATTTTTGTTTTTGTTTTTTGGTCCTGGGGATCAAACTTGGGACCTTGCACTCGCCAGGCTGGTGGCAGCACCACTGAGCTAAATCTCTGGCCTTTAAAGTGTTTTTAAAAGCCAATCAAATGTACATATTGGATTTTGTTTTTCAAAAAATGCACTAAGTTTCAAAAAAATGAAGGACAGCAGAAGGATCTCAGTTACTAACTAAATAAAATGTATATCCCGGGAACATACTTCCTGAGATTCCAAGTCTTGGATAGGAGTAGAATATGTATTTTTATTAGTACCCTAAGTAACTGTGACTAACACTGCACAGATGTGCTAGGATAGGCCTTCCACCAACACAAGCAAGTGCCTGGGCCCTCAGCAGGGCTGCCACAACTGTCAGAAAATGCTGTCTTAGCTGGAGGGAATCTCTGAAATCCAACAGGTTTATAAAGAAAATAGGAAGATTTGGAAACTAGCTTTAGAAGCCTAGGAAAGAATTAGGTTTGGGAATTGTTAATAAGTGAATGCTAATTATTTAAACAAAAAATAAACTTCTGAATGTATCGTAAATAAAGTAGTCTTAGAGGATACTCCCAAAGTTACCACAGGAGTCTGCAAGCTCCACACCTGAACTGCCTGCCAGACCTCAGGCCCTTCATGTCCTCAACACACTACCACCAGAACAGGGGTCTCTGTTCAACAGCCTGGAGGAGGGAAATCACAGCCAGGGTGCCATGAGGCAGCTGCACAGGGCAGTTCCTATATTGACAAAAGGACAGCAGAAGGGCAGAAGACAAGGCTGCCTTCTGCAGTAAATGGGGCTGCAGAAATGTCCGTGAGGCACATTCCAGTATAGTTAAACCCAATGCCACAAGATGGCAACAGGCCTGGGGAACAGTGCTCTGAACCTCAGCCTGAAGCCTTTGATGTTGGCCAGGGGCTTGCAAAAAGGGCTAGAACAAGCAGAGAAGGCACTGTCCCACAAATCCAGTCCGGGGAGGCCTAAGCACAGGAAGTGAAGCAACACCATTGTGTGATAGATGACAGAGTGGTCTGCAGATAACTGTGCTTCCCACACTCCCCAGGGACCTGAAAGCAGGTCGAGAAGCCACTTGCACTTTGCTGAGGCACATGGCACATCACAGGTGGGCAACTGGTGGCCACTAAGCTGGTGACTAGCTCGGGTTCTGCCTTCAACCCGATTTAGTCATCTTTTATGCATCGCTGGGAGCACTGTCACTCTCAAGGTGACAGGAGTTGGGCTCTCTGGAGACATTTGGGAGGGAAGTAAACATTCTCAGAAACAGATGAGAATTTCAATGCCACCGTACTTGAAGAAATAAGCAACTATAAACTGAAATACGATTGAGGAGAAAGGCAGCTGACGGTCTGTAGCATTGCTTAAGTGGTCAGGGTACGCAGCCAGCGTGACAATGCCACCACTTGAAGAAATAAGCAACTATAAACTGAAATACGATTGAGGAGAAAGGCAGCTGACGGTCTGTAGCATTGCTTAAGTGGTCAGGGTACGCAGCCAGCGTGTGACGAATGACGTGAATTCCACAGGCCCTCTTCTAAACCAGAGCAAGTTATGGCATTTAACACTCAGCCTTCTGGTCACTTTCATGAGCTAAGAGCCTCAGATCCTGCCTCCTTAGAGAGGAGCCCCAGGGAGAGGGGCTTATGCTGGTAAGTATTTAATGCCATCCTGGCTACGGACAGTGCTCCGAGGGTAACTATAGAAGGAGATGAAAGCCTCAGTGATGCGTCACTTCTAAATCTGGTTAGGAAGAAAATTCTGCTAGGCAGAGTTTTTAAAAATACAGATCCTTAAGAATAAAAAGGACTGACCTACTGTACATATAACATGGCTGAATCTCCAAATAACCCAAGTAAAAGAAGCCAGGCAAAAACAAGTATAAACTGTATGGCAGTACTTAGACAAACTCGAGAAAATACAAACTAATCGATAGTGACAGAAAGCAGATTGCTGGGGACTGGGAAGAGGGGGCAATGAATGAGCTGAGCGCGGTGGTGCACACCTCCAATCCCAGCACTCTGGGAGTCTGAACCAGGAGGATCACAAGTTTCAGCTCGACCTGGACAACTCAAAGGGATCTGTCTCAAAATTTAAAAAACAAAAAGGGCTGGGGATGTGGCCCTGTGTTCGATCCCTAGAACTGCAAAGGGAGAGGGCAATGGGACAACTTTGAGGGAAGATAGGTATGCTCACATTTTGCTGTACCAAAATATATCGAATTAAGTTAATTAAAATAATATACCACTTGCATCTCAATAAAGCTGTTAAAATAAAAAGTACAGTTTTCCTAGTCCAAATGAATCAGAACCTCTGGGGATTGGACACAGGTATTTTTGTTTTTAAAAGCATGTATTCTATGCAGGTTCATAAACCTACTGCTTTTACTATAGATGTACTTTTGTCAGTTCTACAAATGTATTACCTTTTTCATATAATACCTTATTAATAGGTATAATTTTAAAAGTGACTCAGTAGTTCTGATGTAAGTAGTGACTCCCATAAAGCCTATAATCTGCCTCAGATGTTCGGAAACTGATAAGATACCTATAGCATCTTGGTTTATAGCTAAGTCACAATTTATTTCATATTTAGAGAACGTGAGCTAGAAAAAATTTGTCAAAAATACTGACTACTGTGAAAAGGCCCTGATATTCTGTCGGGTAAAAAAAGAGAAGCAAATTATGAAACAATAAATAGGGGGAAATTAATCTATTTCTACATCTACTATTTCTAGCCACATCTCTAACCGCTTCTGTGTGACAAGATATGTTGTAAGAGGTTCAGAGCAGAATGTGGAAACACTTTATATCTCCAAATACAGATTTTTTCATCTTTGCATAGACTTATATACAAAAATTTTATTTTCATTTAAAGATAATTTTCTTTTTTTGTCTGTATATAAATTTTAAATTTTCTAGAAGAAACACATATCACTTGGGATGAAATAGTCAAAACTGTGTTTTAAAAGTTGTGGCTCTCATTCCTGTCTATGTCTTAGTTATGATTGACAGCACTGCAGTAGCAGTTTCTACCTCCAAAGCTGCTCTTTTTGCTTTTTGCTCCATCAATCTTCACTCACAATTTTTTTTTTTTTACTTCTGTATTACTTCCATAAAAAACAGATGGTGGGAGGAGAGGGAAGAAGAAGGAAAAGAAGAAAACAAATAAACTTGAATCACAAATAAAAGGAAAGGGCCAGAGAGGTGGCAGGGGAAGAGAAAGTCAACTTCAACAATGTTTGGTGAACCCACGCACAAGGCAGTGTGCCTCAGTGAACACAGCCAAAGCAATTCAAGGACAAGGGCAAGGACCTTGGGGTAGGAAAATAAGTCAGATTTGCAAGCAGACTGTTTTTCTGTTTGGGAAAGGTTTGCAAAGTGGTTCCTCAAGGAATACAAGAGGCCTTTCCAACTCCAACTTCACCTGAATCCAGATGCACTCCTGGAACACCTACCTGGCCCCAATGTAACGCGTTCTGCACAGAAGTTCCCGCGGGACAATGTGTCGAATACACATCCACTCTAGACTGCAGAATAAATATGTTATGTTAAAGGATGAAAATATCACTAAGGTGGTACGGAGAATAAATATTACATGTTGTCCTTCAAAGCATTAAAAACTACGGAGCCATAATCTCAAATATATGGGATCAAGTTGAAAAAAATTCCTTGACTACACATACTAAAATATGAACAACTATACACAGAGTACCTAGGAAGGTAATGCAAAACATAGGATAAGTATGGAGCGCTACAGGTTGAGATTATAGGTCATTTTCATTTTGTTCTTCATATGTTCCTGAATTTTTAATTTTTTAAAAAATATTACTGTCTAACTGTATATATAGCAAGTTCCAAAATATCAGGTTGGCCATAAAAGCAATTCACCTTTTGGCCACCAGGGGCTGCTATTGCCAAAGTTTATATGAATTTTTAAATAATAATCATCTTTGATCAGAAAAAAATTAACATTTTTAAAATTCCCTAGGATGTTCATTCCAGAATTTTAAAATCTGTTTTCAAAATGCAACATTACAAATGATAAATACATGTTGAAATACCAGCATATGCCTGGCTAGTGGTTTATATTTTATAAAACAAGTAAATAAATACATATGCACACATATGTGTATGTGTGCCATATAAATGTGTGTATGCAAATGGCCACTTCAAATTTAAACACATGAAATTTTTAAAGAAACAAGCCAGTAGAATAAATATATAAATATTATGACTTAAATTGTGACAGAAACCTTTGTTCAATAGTCGCCATCCATATTTGATGTAGGACTGGACAACAGCCGGTCGGGACAGCAGCAGATGTTACTGCAGGCTCCTGCAGAAGCTGATTCCTGTGTCTCTTATGTGAAAAAGACCCTCTAGGGTTTGGATGAGCTCATCTGCATCTCCCATATCATCTGACACATACAGGCACATTCACAGACAAAGTCACTGAAGTTTGAATCAAACCTCACTGTCAATACACATACCATGTTTAAATTTCTCTCATTAAATCCACTCAGAAGAAAGAAGATATTTCCACAAAGCTCTTTCATAATGACATGGGTACAAACGCGGGTACTTAGCCACTTCAAAATCTCATTCTGGGGAAGAAAAGCTTGGTGCCCAAATATCTCCTGCAAAATCAAAGAAACCCAATAGTATCTCCGATATCTCAGTCTCCATGACCCACTTAAAGACACAGCAGCATCCTCACTTGTGGCCTCAGGAGTAAAACATCAAACAGCAAACAAGGAACTGACACATAAATTTACTAGTCAAAGTCAGATGTGTTATAGGTATTTATATTCTTAAAATGAAAATATAAAAGCAAAAAATTAAGCAAATTTAAAATGTACTTTTGCAAAAGGAAAGAACTTTGATCAATTATCAAATTGACATTGTCAAATATCTTTCATTTGCTTCCAATGGATCATTCTTGACAGAAACAACTGAGGCTGTGGTTGACCTGCAAAGTCTGCTGGGTGTGCATGCATCTCATCCCATATTGACCGAATCCAGCCCATTGCTTGTTTCATTTTCTTTCTCTTTCTTTCTTTCTTTCTTTCTTTCTTTCTTTCTTTCTTTCTTTCTTTCTTTCTTTCTTTCTTTCTTTCTTTCTTTCTTTCTTTCTTTCTTTTTCATTGTGGAGAAGGGGAATAAGTGTTTGTAATTCTACAAAGCTACTAAACTATAATCGCCAAAGATTCAATAAATTAAAAATGTACATCTCTATAACATAGAAATTTCAGTTTCCCATAGACATTCTGTGGATATCCCCTTAGAGGTTTATAAAGATGCAGCAATAGCAAATTAGCAAACAACCATAGATGTCTGGCTAAATAAATCTAAAACTTAATATGCAACAATTTTAAAAATGAATTAACATGATAGCTATCCAAGAGTGCAACATTTGGTCTGCAGAACACCATATAGTTGGATATCATCCACATCTAAAAATAAAGCAACATATTTCTTTTGGTACATCTCTATAAATTTACACACAGGGTTTCTAGAGAAAGATCCCACGCTGTGCTTAATTCTGAGAAAAATATAAGAAGGCATAGTAGTTGGGGAGTACTTGATTTTTAATTCTTGAGCTATTTACAATGAAAATCAATGCTTCTCTTACCCAAAGCATTAAGAACATATTTGACCAGAGTGGCTACATCTTATCTGGATGGTCACTGGTGCAGTGAATCCCATCTCATGTTAGTGCCAGGTTCTGAGGTCAGAGTATCATCCATATTTCCTGTGCAAGTCTTTTACATGGTCACCGGTCTGAGTTATACCTGCTTTCCAGTATAGTTTATGACAAAAACATCATAAAATACACTGATACAAGTCTAGAGGGTACAGGTCAATCACTTGATGCAAATAAGAACACGGTGAGCACAAATATATGGAGGTTGCTACCAATAGCACGATATATGACTTCGCAGTAAACTTCTTTACATGAGTAGAAGTATACTCTAAAACAATGATTTTTAAAATCCTCAAATTGGTATGCAAGAAAATAAAGAGCATCCCTGCTTATCTTAAAAAAAATTAAAATAAAAAATAAAATAATGACATTGTGAAATGGGAAGAAAGGAGCTAAAGGTGTAGGGAAGGTGGGATGGGTAGGGGAAGGGTAATAAGGGAAAAGAAAAAAATGTGAGGTAATGAAAAGATGGAAATAAAGTGTTTGTAGATGGGGAGGGGAGGAGGGGGTGAAGGGAGGGCAGGGACAAGGGGAAAAAATGAGAACCAAGACCTGTCATGTAGAGGTACAAGATCCCAACAATGAATGTTAACTGTACTGTATCCCTAAAATGTACCAATTAACTCAATTAAAAAAAAATTTTTAAAAATAAAATAAAATAATGATAAAAACACAATAAATATATCACTACCAAGTATTAGGAACTGCACATACTTTATGTCTGTACTTTGCTATAACTGGCAGAACAGGTTTGTTTACACCAGCAGTACCACAAACTCATAAGCGATGCATTAAGCTATGACATCACTAGATGACAGGAAGTTTTTAGCTCCATTACAGTTTTATGGGACCACCATCAAATATGTGGTGTCTCATTCAAAGAAATGTCATTATATGGCACATGACTATATATTTCTATACAGGATTGTGTGTCTGTGTGTGCATTCATGCAAATGTATAATACATTAAACATAAAATGCATGAATAAAATGCATGGAGCTCACAGCCACACTTATTGAAAATGCAAAGGACCAGGACAGATCCTTTCTCCCAAGGCCAGTTCGAAGAGGAAATGACGGGGGTGGAGTGGGGTGGGCGGGTTACCTCAAAGAGAAGATCTGGCAATTGTCCTAATTTGGTTAGCGGGCTCGTAGAGAAATCCACTAAAATCACAGGAGCCATGGAAAAAAACATTTTAATCTTTCTGGCCAGCTCAGGAAACTGAGAAAATGCTATAAAACCTGTGGGAACAAAAGGAAAACAACAAAAATTTCATTTTATGGGCTTTCTTAGAAAAAGCAAGGGAGACCATTTGCGATTTCACCCCCACCCCCCACCCCGGCAGCAGCCTGATGAGCCCTGTAAGCAACTCTGTCTTCAGAGTTAAAACACCTGAGAGCCTCTGGGGAGCAAACACGGATCGATTAGATTAGCAAATCAACAGTGTGTTCAGTATTTGCTCCAAATCTCAACCTCGACAGTCACCTGAAGAAATCCAGGTGGGAGACCAGAAAATCCTCCCTGTTCCTGTACCTATGTGAACACAGGTAAGATTATACTTCAAAGCTCCACCCTTACCGCTTCCATCTCCCTGGCCTGTCCTTAATCTATAGACCCATTCAAACAGACCACTAATGACCCAAAAAGAACTCACACATTTAGAGTTCCTTAGCTTTACAGTATCTTTCAGCCCTCAGTCAGTCACTTCTGGTCAGTTAGCACTAACATGCCACTGCAGAAATCAGTCAGGACAGTACACAAGTAAACTAGTTGTGGAAGAAGGCAGAATGTCCAGGTCTATTTTTCTAAGGGTGAAGCATGGCTGTATATCTGTTTAAAAGCATTCAGACTTTTCACATAATTTCTCTCTCTAGGAAAGTATTCTAAAGAGACATGAACACAAAAGTATTGGTCACAGTACACACTAAAAGGGAGAATTAAATAAGGTATGGGACAGGTTCTCCCTAGCCCCTTATTAGAGAAACTTGCTTGTTAGAATTATGGACAATTTGTATTTTCTTTAAACTTTGCAAAATTATCTATTTTTATTTCTGATAAACATATATTACTGTTATCATCAACATAAATTAAAATGCATATGGCCTTTAAAAACTAATTAAGAATTAAGCACAACCTGTTACGCTCAAAGTTAAGTTCCAATTAACTTAGTTTATTTGCAGCGCTAGAGATGAAACACACTAGGCAAGCACTTTACCACTAAGCTATTTCCCAGGCCCCCCCACTTAACTTTAAGCATATTTTCTAACCCCCTTAGAAAACTTCCTGTTTGTGCTTAACATGAGTAATGAATACTGCTTAACTTAAAAGAATAAATAATATGATGTATCTCACTTAATTCTTTCAGTGTTAAGGCCATATTTAGCCATTTAGTTTAAAGTACGAATTTCTATGAAAGACTATAACCAATGCTTTGCTCTAGTCATGATTTCTGCTTGGCATTAAAAACAACTGCATTGGGCTGGGGATTTAGCTCAGCGGTTCGGTGGCCTGCCTCACAAGTGCAGGGACCCGAGTTCAATCCCCGGTACTACAAAAAAAAAAATTAATAAATAAATAATAAAAACAGCTGCATTTGCACTAACTTTTTTTATTTCACTTTTAAGAACAAGTGTAACTGTAACAAAGACATGAACTTCTAATCTTTATTACTTACATACCTATTGTGCTCCCTTGAGAATGGCCCACATAATACACTTGGTTTTGACCAGTTTTTTTCAGAATGAAGTCAACTGAAGCTGGTAGATCATACTTTGCCATCTCATCAAAACTGTAATCCAAAAAAGGAAATCTTTTGTTAAAACTGTACATAAAATAGAAGAGCACACAAATACTAAACATCAAGCCTGCAGAGTATGAGAAATGGAACACAGCTCAGTAAACCAGTGCTGACCTTAGGAAACTGAGCCTCACCAGGATCACAGAGTCCCCTTGGACTCCCCTGTAGTTGTGCTTCTAAGGGTAACTACTATCCTTAATTTTTCACATTACAAGTCTGTTTCACCCACTGTAAGATTTTCCTATGATGAGATTATGGTATATACCCCTCTGTCCCTAGCTTCATCCACATTAGTACACAGAGTTATAGTTGTTTGTTCTCCTTTGCTAATATACCCTACCTTACTTGTCCATTCATTCTGTTCACCGCTGATGACATGCATGTGAGTAGTTTTCAGTTTGTCATTGCTGCAAGCAAAGCAATAATAAATATATCCTTCCACATGCCTTATGCTAAAAATTATTTCTTGTATGTCATGTCCTTAGGAAGGCTCTCATTTTACAAATGGGAAGAAATCCTCAAGACATGCAGAGAGCCAATATTCTCTAATACCCAGCGCAACAAGATATGGCCTTGAACCCAGTAGGTGTCTGGGTGCACACGTACGTGTGTTTCGCATCGGGAGATGGAGGAGCCAATTGTTATCATACACTTATGATGTGCTAGGCTCTGTGGAGATTCTTTCTCAGTATTCTCTCCTTCAATCCCTTGATGGTTTTATGAGACAAGAGTTTATCATCTCCATTTTACAAATACGGAAACAGACATAGAGGGATTGTGCAACCTGCCCAAATCATACAGCAATTAATTGGTAAAGGCAGAAGTAAGAGAGAGAAGAGGAAAATTTCTGAAAAGAAGAAAAGAGAATATCTGGACTATGTATTTATGATAAAAGGAGGAAGTTTGTAGGTTTCATACTATACTACCTGGAATGACAAAATAACTTAAGAATTCTCAAGCTATTTGCTTATATTCTAAGGCCTAATTAAATCATTTACTTACAGGTTACCTTACTGCTAGTTATTCATTGCCTAGAAAGTTTAAAAATCTTTCATGAGACATCAGTCTCTTGTAATTTCAGTTACTCATCTAACAGCCTCTTCCGCTAAATTCTTCATATGTCTGCTTTAAGTCTACTAAGAAAAAAGACCCAAGTCATAATCAACTGAAATATACCTGAAGGTCCAGAATTCATCCTGAGAAACTGAAAGTGTCTTGTGTTTCTGAGACCAGGTGTTTCCTCTGCTGTTCCCCATCCACACATCGAAACCAGCATCAGCAAGGATGAAGCCCAGGCTGCTGTTGTCAAGGTTTGTGACCCAGTTACTGGAATCTGCCAGAAAGCCGTGTTGCAGAAAGACAGCTTGTTTGGAACCTGAAAAAAAATTCATGTTTAAGAAATAGTATCTCCAAGCTTCAAAACAAACAAAACATCTTTTGCTAAACAATCTCAAAGTAAATAATAAAAAAGAAACAAAATAATGAGATAGCAATTTACTCCCATATAACAGCATTAAAAAAATTATTTAAACGGGGCTGATGAGGTAGCAGCAAAATTGAACTATTTTTACTTGTTTAGTAACAGTGTAGTAACTGACTTGACCATCAAAAAAAAATTAATATATTTTTAGGAATGTGCAAAATGTTTTCACAGCCAGGCACAGTGGTGCACACCTGTAATCCCATCTATTCAGGAGGCTGGGGCAGGAAGATCACAAGTTTGAGTGCCTGGAAAATCTGGTGAGTCTTTGTTTCTAAATAAAATTTAAAAAAATAAAAAATAAAAAGGGCTGGCAATGTAGCTCCATATTCCAAGTTCAATCCCCAAAACAGTTTCTAAAAGTTCCTCCATAAACTGCCTTTCTCACAATGAATGTTAACAAAATAAACCAAAGAAACAGATCACACAGAACAATGAGATACCACTATAAGCCTATGAGAATAGCCCAACTCCCAAAACTCTGAAAATGCCAATTGCTGGCAAGGATGTAGAACAATAGGAACTGTCATTCATTGCTCATAGAAATGCTAAATGGTACTGCCACCTTGAAAGACAGTTTGGCAGTTTCTTACAAATTAAACATACTCTTACCATACAATACTGCAATCATGTTGCTTGGTATTTTACCCAAAGGTGATGAAAACTTATGTCCATAGAAAAACCTATACATAGATGTTTAAAGTAGCTTTAGTCATAATTCCTAAAATTTGGAAGTAACCAAGATATCCTTCAGCAAGTGGACAGATAAACTGTGGTCTATCCAGACAATGGGGTGTCATCAGCTCTAAAAGGAAACAGATCATCAACTATAAAGCAACTTTACATGCACATTACTAAGTGGAAAACACAATCTGAAAAGATTGCATCGTGTACGACGTTCTGGAAAAGGCAAAAGAGGAAAAGTAGGAATTCAAGGAGAGTGAAAGAGGCAGAACAAAGAGGATTATTCGGACACTGAAACTCTGTGGTACTATAGCTGAAGACAGACATCATTATGGGTTTGGCTAAACCCATGGAACACGGCACATCCGGAGTAAACCCTAAAGTAAACTGTGAATTTTGGGTGATGATGATGTGCCACTCGGCTTCTTCAATTGTAGCAAATACACAACTGGGGCTGTTCATAAATGGGCTGAAGGAGGCAGAGGGCATTTGAGTGGTCTCTGGATACTGGCCCTTACAGTAGCTGTAATCACAATTGCCGAACTTTGGAAGTAATAAATTTTACTTCATTTTTCTGTGAATCTGAAACTGCTCTGCAAATACACAATCTAATTAAAAAATTAAGATGAATTTAAAAATTAAATAGAAAAAGATCACACATTTATAAATTCTTAAGTGTGTTGTGTATGAGTTTATTTTCTACTTTCCCATACCCAAAACTGTGAAGCAGAAGAAGAAAAAAAAAATGTGAGATCCAAGGAAACCTGACTCAGGCTGCTTACAGTTTTGAGACACTGATCATTCACTAAACAAACATTTATTAAGCCCACCTGAGTGCTTAGGCATCCTTTTGTGCACTGGGGACACAGTAAAGAATAAAACTAGGAGGAATATAAACACTACCCTCAAGGAGCTGACATTATAGCGACTATGAAATTTACAGAGAAACAATCCTGGTTCAACTCAGTCCTTTTCAAGTTCTGACATGACATTTTAGGCAAGGTATCTAAACACCCTTTGAAATTTATACCATTCCTGCCAAGTAGAAATAACAATAATATGTACGTATAGGGAGTGATGGATGAGTGACTCTATAGAAAAAGTCCCAAGCAAAGCAAAGGCAAGCAGTAAAAGTACATATACATCAGCACATATTAAGCTGTTTAAGCAAAGTTCTATAAATAAATAAATAAGGAACAAATGAGATAAGTAAGTCAGTGGTTCTGTCTACCCTTTATAACATGAATATGCTGAAAACAAGCTAACTGTCAAGCAGACAATAATTGTAGTTCACTTGGTGTAATAATTAAGCCATCAATAATGACAAGGACTGTGATACCACAGAAAAGCCTATTAATTTAAAAGAACAGAAGACAAAAATACAGACTAGACTGCAGCTATGCAACAACAATGTATGCTGATGTAAAATATCAAAGGAAAATGGAAAGGATGACTTGTCAGGATGATAAGTCTGAAAGTGAATTGACAAATGTTACTTCTGCTTATGTCCTAATATATACAGTCATTCCTTGTTACACAGGGTATCAGATCCAGGACTCGTCACAGACACTCAGATCCCACATATAAAATAGAATATTTGCACTTAACCTATTATACCCTCCCACATACTTCAAATCAGCTAGAGATAACTTATAACACCTAATATGACAAGAAATTCTGTCTAAATAGTTGTTACACTGTCTTATTTACTGAATTGTTTAGGGAATACTGAACAAAGACTATATACCCAGTGCAGATACAATTTTCCTCTGTTTTTGATTGGTTTAATACAGATGGGAACCCCACAAATATGGAAGTGCAATTATATTTAGCAATTAATAAATTATTTTTCAATGACAGTTCCTCTGATGCCAGGTGCCCCTGTAGACAGCTCCAGGAGGAACTGTTCACATGCAGGACAAGTAGGACAGCCTGCCCAGTGTTGGATACATGGGTTCCTTCATGTAGTGAAGAGTGGGACACTTAAGCCAAGAATCCCAAATGACTCTATGATTTTCTAATCACAACAATGCACTCTTTGCACCCTTAGGTCCAAGCAGGTGACTTTCTCCCTCTGGGGGAGAACAGAAAGCAAACAGACCAAGACTGGGGCTGTTTTAGTTCTTTTTTGCCTTTAGATATTTACATTTTGATTGTTTGTTTGGTTGGTTGGTTTCTGTGGTACCAGAGACTGAATCCAAGGATGCTCTTCCACTGAGCTACATCCCCAGCACTTTTTAGTTTTTAAGGCACAGTCTCAGTAAGTTGTCCAGGCTGGCTTTGAATTGAACTTGTCATCCTCCTGCCTTGGCCACCCAAGTAGCTGGGATCAAAGCGTGTGGCTTAAATGTGCACTTTAACACTACATCAATAAGGCCAAATTTACTATGAGAGTTCTACAGTAGATTTTGTCTTATAAGCACAATGCCTGCCTCCAATGAGGAAGAAGTGAAAAAAATCATAAAAGTTTGAAATTAGAAACTTCAGTGTAAATGACAATAATAATTACCAACAATATCTCCCTACTCTTAAAAAAATAATAACAATTACCAGAATTCACTCCTCTTTGAGCTTTAGCTAGCTCTAGAAGGGCTGGGGGATAAGAGAAAAAAATAAAAAAGACTGTTGGTTTTGTTTTGTTTTGCCAAGATGGACAGTGACTTCTTCGTGGTCACTTAGTCAGCTCCAAGCTGTCTAACGGAAGCAGCTGGGGGCAATTCAGTGCAATGCTGCCTACCCGATGCGTCCCAACTGTGGGTGGAAGCAGGGAGTGGATTACTCAGGATCTGAAACTGAATGTGGTCTCCTGAGGGGAAGATGGCCCAGTGCGTGGGGAAGTTCCTCCTGCCCCCCAAAGCACTGACCTTCTCTGCCAGGACCCTGCGTCCCATGGATCTCTCCCACACTCAAAAACACTTATAAGAAGCAGCGGAGGTCTGGGGAAGAAGCAAAACTAAGAGCAAGGAGGAAGGAGGCCAAAGTTGAGGATGTGAGCTTGAAATGGACTTAGTTCTCATTGGCCATGAAACCTTGTAGCATTTACTCAGCTCGGAAGTGTATGGGTGTTTTCTTAAGGTGTAGATGATAAAGTGGCTGATTAAAGCCAAAACTCAATGAATAATATTTCCTGATAATAATAAATATTATTTATTAGTATATATAAATGTAAAAATATATAAATGTCTATTATATAAATATAATATACATATTATATATAAATGTAGCAGAATATTATTAGAATATATATATGTATATATAAATGTAACAAATATATAAATACGTAATATATATTATATATAAATGTAGTAAAATATTATTAGAAAAATAAAGAGGAGTGGTATTCTTTAGCCCAGGCATTGTCGTAACAGTTACAACATGAGCAGAGCAAGTATGTCAGGGACTGTGCTAAACATTTTACGTGCATTTTCTCACATAAGGTCTCTACACTTACGTAGAATAGTGGTCCCCAAAGATGGTCACATCGGAACGCCTAGAACATAAGAATATATCACCTTACATGGCAAAAGAGACTTTGCAGATGTAATTAATGACCTTGAGATGGGAACATCATGGATTATAAAACTGGGCCTCACGTAATCACAAGGGTCCTAACGAAAGAGAGGCAGAAAGGGTCAGAATTGGAAGAAATTGGAAAATGCACAGTGCTGACTTTGAAGATGGAAAAAAGACCCACAAGCCAAGGGAGCAGGCAGCCTCTGAAAGCTGAAAAACGCAAGAAAACAGATTATCTCCTGGAGCCTCCAGAAGAAACACCGCCCTGTCAACAACCTGAATTTAAGACTTCTGACCTCCAGAACTATATGAAAGACAATCTGGTGTTTTAAGGCACAACATTAGTGGTGTTTATTAAAGCAGCCATGTGTTACTAATATAACCAGGGACAAACTTTTGCTCCTGTTTTTTCAGATATGAACTCTTAAGGCACAGTGTGGCTAACGAAGGAAGCTGTCCACAGCCTCACAGGTGGCCACAATGAACCAGGCTTCTGAAGCAGGCAGTGTGTCTCCTGCAGCTGCCTTGTGCCACTGAGCAGGGCTAAGTCTGGGAGAGACATGGCTGTTTTGGGTTTATGGTAGGTCCCCACAGGTGTCCTCTCAGCCCTACCTCAGTCTATCCTGCCTTAAACTTCTCAAATTCTAACATCCCATATATGGGATATTTGCATTTGACCAGTTTTCTTGGCTATTGTG